CTCCAACACAACTCTCACAACGCTTCATTGAACGTACTCGCTCTCCCAATGGGGAGCTTACCTAACAAAGTGGAATGAACAAGTTCTGTTGAACATTAAAGTCCTACTGTTGGGGTAGAGAATTCCTAGATGTTGCTAAAGCATGGAATGCAGTATGGGAGCCATGTATCTCTTCTGCTGTTGGCTTCCTGAGCTTCACTGATGTATTAAAACACTGCAATCCTCATTTTTCCACTTCTGGGGTTTCCTCCACTATGATTCCAAACCTCTTAATGGAAGAAACACTTAGCAAGGAATGCTTAAATGCCAAGTTTGAAAGCCTCAAATCCAGAAAATACTGATTCCAATTTTTTTTAAAATAGAATTTGGAAATCACCATAAAATTACTTAGGAAACTTATGGCAGAATACAGGTGCCTTGCAGCCATCACCTGTTTTCCATCTGGGAGGATCAGGCAGCTATTAAAATCCAGTAGCTTACCCAGCTATAATTCCAGGAGATTCCATCAATCCCCCGGCTAGCAACAGGCTAGGAGTAGAATGAAAAGTTTGAGATTTATTTATTTATTGCTGAAGATCACTGCTCCTTTCAACATCTTTACCCATCTTCATTCTTCTTCCCCAATGTTTTCAAAATGCCACAGCTTCCCAGTCCCTTTGTCCATCAACACCATCCACAGTTTCCTCCCAGAAATTCCTGCATCCTGGTTTAGATAAATAGTATATCTTTATCTGAACTAACAGCCCTTTACAACCCCTGATAGCTTCAGAATTTGAATTTTTGAGGTGCAGAAAATGGATTGTGCTGTGATTCGCTGGAAATTTCATAGGGCTTTGATTAGGCCCATGAACAGTGATGGGAAAAGAAACCCCCGCAGGAGAGCAAGGAAGGAGAGACAACAGTAGAGGTGGACTATTGCTTGAGGCATCTACTCAGCCATCTTTCACCCTCATTGTTTTTAGAAATCAGATGTGGTTTGTTTCCATTTTTTTGGCAGGAAAAGCAATTCATTTCCCATAGTAGGAAAGTACTTGGCTCTTTTAGAAAGTGTTTCCAGGACAGATGTCCATTATGCACTAAGACCCACAGGTGGAACAAGCTCGCTGCAATTCTGCCTCCCCAGGCAAAGCCAACTCAAAGGATTAATGCACTATAGTCCAAAGCATGCGCCTTCTCAAGACTTCCCTTCTATTAGATTACCAAGTCCACCCCCCCACACTCCCCAACAGGCAAAACTAAGGAAACAACCTAAGGAATCTGCCCTACTTAAACCAGGAACAGTTTTAGAATAATAAGAGGACTGTTTCAGAGACAGAGGAAAAGGACTTTGGAGGAATTTTCAGCAACTCCTGAAAGTTCTGGGGTACAGTCAGGATTAAACTGCATTCAAGTTAGCTAGTTAAATGTAAGGAGGAACCTGGGAAATGTAAATTGAGGACAGTTGGGGAGGGAGGGGGGCAGAAGGAGCCACACAGAAAGCCTGCATGGATGGGTATACCAGTGCTAAAGCATCAAATACAAAGACTTTGGCTTCATTTATTTAGGACAATGAAGGAGGAGAACAGATCCACAGGAAGTTTGGCAGGGCTCATGAAAGCTAGCTTGTTGGAAGGCCTTTCATGGCCATTCAGGATTTCCCCCCCCCCCTGCCTTTTAAATCACTGAATGAATGAATGAATAAATAAATAAATAAAGTTTGGGGCCTACCTCTGGTCCCAGTTTAACCTTTCTGATGATAATACGGCCATGCCAAAGAACACAGAGCATTAAGAGAAAAGGGATGAATGTGACATCTCGAGACTGAGGCTAAATAAGAGTGGTTTAGAAGAATTTCTTTTTGCTTGCTTGCTTCATTTTAATTAAAAGAGGTTTGGAAAGCACCGAGGTGTATTTTCTATTTTTATTTTGGCTTTGTCATTTAAGCAAAGCAAAGCTTTTCTCACCTGAAAAGTTTCTTGTTGCCAACATAGTAGTAAGAATGGCACCCTAAAAGGAAGAAAGCAGAGAAAAAAAAGTAAATAGACGTAAAATGGAAATTCTTGAAAGAACTTTAAACATGAAGGAAAAAAGGGAATAGAATTTATGTAGCATAAACAAAGAAAAAGTAATGCACCAAATTGTTTTCTGTCTTCTTAAAGGAAGAGGTGTTAATATACTGTAGACTTTTTTTTAAAGATATTAATGTATCAGTATAAAATTCTTTGCTAGAAATTGTTCAGATCTCAAAGGATGACAGGAAATCTCAACAGTTGTGTTGGTGCATCACTGGAGATCATATTTGCATTCTAACATGACCCCTATGCAGTACAGATAGTCCTTGACTTATCACCACTATTGAGCCCAAAAATTTATGTTGCTGTCTGTTAAGTGAGTTTTGCCCCATTTTATGAACTTTTTTGCCACAGTTATTACAATACAATACAATAGCAGAGTTGGAAGGGACCTTGGAGGTCTTCTAGTCCAACCCCCTGCCTAGGCAGGAAACCCTATACTGTTTCACTGAATTACTGCAGTTGTTGAATTAATTGAATTAATTGAATTACTGCAGTTGTTGAATTAATTGAATTAAT